TAATTCGTTTATGTTTATTCATTTTTCCTAGCACAATAAACGTTAGTTTATGTTAAATATCATCATTGCAATAAATATAATGAAGAATAATTTGATGATAAATCTGTAATTATTAATTATTTCATGCTAAACATAAAATCTCTTTATAAAATAACTTACACAAAAGAAAACGATTCAAAATTACTTTATAAAATTTTTAAATATTTTTCTTGATTATTTTGATACAAATTACAATTATGAATACTAAACAAAAAATCAATCAATTTTTGCTAGAAAATCGAATTGAGAGATATTAGGTTTCAATAAAAACCCTTTGAAGTATTTTCTTTTAGAAAATATTAATTCTAGAATATATCACTTTTGAACATAAAAAAAAGTTTATTAAAATAAACTTATATTTCGTTTTGACTTAATAAAATTATTACAATACATCATACAAATTAATTTTATTTGATTAGATTATATTTATAACACAGATTAAAATAAAACAGTAGCACAGTGGGGTCGCGGCATAGTGGAGACATTGCATAGTAGGGTCCAGTATAGATTTAATCTGACAGTGATTAAAATCACTATCATAAGAAACGCTTCGATGCAAATCTGTAGATAGTGTTTAATTTTAAAAAATTGATGGATAATTGCAAAAGCAACATCAACTTCTATTAAAATAAAANGATAATTGCAAAAGCAACATCAACTTCTATTAAAATAAAGTACAAAACCCATAATTTTCATACAAAAATAGCATATTCTTCAATATGGTAGCCATTTGCGTATAGAAGATAGGTCGTCGGGATAAATTTTTTTTTTTCATTTTGTAGTACATAAAATAAGCTTTAATTTGATATATGTTTAAAGGACGCAGTCTTTCCGGAACATTTTCAAAAATTAAGTTGAAAAAATTAATTTTTGTAAAAAAGTTGCCATTTTAAATCCCCCCCAATGAGCAGGTTAAGTGATAGATTTTCAAAAAAATGATATCAAATGAAAGGTAAATATCTAAGGTTTTAGTATAAAAAAAAATTATGTTGATTTGTTGATTTTTCAAAAAGTTATGGAAATTTTAAGAAAAAAAAGTGAAAAAATTTCGAAAATTAGCGATTTTTAAATTTGTAATTTTTTTGGATATTTCCCCCATTTGCGGGGAACGAGGGAATTTTTTTAATTTTTGAGGGTAATGTTTTCGACTAGGTACGATTTGTGATCTTTTGACATATTTTTGAAAGAAATCGGTCCAGTGAGAGCTGAGAAAAAGTGGCAACAGACATAAAAAAAAAAAAAANTTTGAAAGAAATCGGTCCAGTGAGAGCTGAGAAAAAGTGGCAACAGACAAAAAAAAAAAAAAAAAAACGCACCATAGTAAAATTAATACCTTCTCCGCTTCGCATCAAAGCTAAAATACAAAACTAATTTTATGTTTTGATATTTTATCAATATGTTATTTAACAAGACAATTTTAGTTAATTTATTTGTATTACTTTATAATTCTATAAATTATGTATATTCCATTACTATTGTAATAGTTTTTCTACCAAATTTCTCCATTTTAACTTAAAATAATATAATGTAACTCATATATTGAATGTTGATTTGTGGCATGAAAACCCCTATGATATGAATCTTTAAATTCTTCATATACTAATTTTTTCCATAAACTTTTAACTGCTAAATCATTTCATTTTTTACAATTCAACATTAATAAATATAAACTTTTAAAATGCAATCTAGTAATGTACAATATTTATTCCTCCTGAAGCCCATACAATCCAGGACACTGACCATTTAATAGGAATACTTACTTTTAAACTTTATTTTCATTTCAATTAAATTGTCAGTTGAGAAATTGTTACTATATGGAAGTACTAATGATTTTAATACATTTAAGTTATTTAATGAAATAATAATAGAATTGTCAATAGGTCTTCTTCTTCTTCCTCACCATAATCCCAACTACTTGGGGTCGGCAACCCTTATCCTAAACTTCCACTTGACACGATCTCCCACATCATCTATGCTCACATCAGCTGTCCTCAAATCGCATTCAATAGCATCCTTCCATCTCTTTTTTGGTCTTCCTCTACTTCTTCTTCCTTCAACATTAATTTCTATAACTGTTCCTACAGCTTCCAATTCTTCTCTCCTCATAACATGATCAAACCATCTAAATCTATTTTCTCTCATCTTATCCACGATTGACGCTACACCTATACACCCTTTATATGCTCGTCCCTTATTCTATTTATTCTAGTCACTCCATTCAACCATCTAAGCATTCTCATCTCTGCTCTACTTTCTTATCAACCGCCCAACACACTAAACCATCAATCATAGCATTGTCTAGTTAAAAATAAAAATTTTTGTTTTACAAAAATCGTATTTTTTTTATTAACTTTGAAGTCCGTTTTCACAATGTAAACAAAATAAAGTCCGAAATTTGTTTTTCATATTACAGTATATTACATAAGCTTTAATTAATATAATAAGCTTATGTAATATAAGCTTCAAATAATATAAATATTATTTAAAATATTAAGTCTAAATTTTCAATCCTACTTATCAATTATTTTCTAATTTGCAGTTTGCATCCTTTGTAGACGGAGATGCCATATGGACAAATATTGTAAGCAACAGGAAGATTATTCACAATCAGAAAATTGCTGCATTTTTACAAAACTATTTTAAATATATCTTAATAAACTTGAAGAAAATGGCTTATTTGTTATTATTGATTTGTATTATAAATTCTATGGTGTATATGAAGCAATATTATTCACAAACATAGTTTACATGAGTTTATTAGTAATTAAAAATATGTATCGATAAAGGTATATTAGTATTTGATCAGCAAATGATAAAAATTAATGTAGAGTAATTAGTTTTATAAAATTAATAAATTATTTATCAAAATTCATTATGATTAAAATTTGAAAAGGTATTCATAATATTAAATTGATTAATTTTTGAGCGGTTTTATCTATTTAAATAAGTTAAGAATTACTTTTTTAATTTATTAAATATTATTATTTTAATAATATTTATTAAAGAAGTATATAAATAATACTTATAAAAAAATTGTAATGATCCATACATTTTTCAAGAATCGTATTTTTTTTTATTAACTTTGATGTTCGTACTCACCATGAAAACAATATAAATTCCGAAATTTGATTTCATATTAAACTATATTAAATAAGCTTTAATTTAAGATATATATGTGTCCGTTTTAATGACACTTTCAAAAATAAAGTTGAAAAAGTTCTACTTTCTATATTCATTTTTAAGTTTTGAACCCCTCCCTGTATAATGAGAAAAAAAGTATATCGAATGAAAGATGTGTATAAATAATATTTTTCATAAAAAAATTGTATTGATCTATTTTTCAAAAAGTTATATAGGTATATAGTTAAACATGTAAAATATAAAATCGAGAATTTTCACACAAAAATAGCATTGGGTGGCCATTTTCAATGTGAAGACAAAATAAAGTCCAAAAATTTTTTCTTCTATAATAAAATATATTATATTAGCTTTAACTTAAAATATATATATAAGTATCAGAGTTTCCGGAACACTTTCAAAAGTTAAGTTGAATTAGTAAATTTTTTGTGAATAAGTTGTCATTTTGAATCCCCCCTGAAGGCAGATAAAAGGTTCAATTTATAAAAAAAATATATAAAATGATTCATCATTTTATATATTTTTTAAATTATTTTAATACCTCATGTATATATTTAAAAAGAATTACATCGATTTTGTCATTTTTAATAAGTTATGTCAATTTTAAGTAAAAAAATTTTAAAAATGTCGACAATTTTTTTTTGTATTTCCCCCATTTACGGGTAACAAGGGATATTTTTCAACTTTTGAGGGTAATGTTTTCGACTAGATACGATTTGTGATCTTTTGACGAAAAGTTGAAAGTAATTGGTTCGGTGAGAGCTGAGAAAAAGTAGTAAGACACAAAAAAAAAAACCCAGCACAGGGGGGTCGCGGCAAAGTGGTGACGTGGCATAGATGGATCAAGTATAATGATATCTGACAGTGATTAAAATCACTATCAAAAAAAAAACGCTTCGATGCAAATCTTTAGATAGTGTTTAATTTTAAAAAATTGGTGGATTATTCCAAAAGCTACATGATCTGCTAGTTCATTATTAATATCCTAATTAAGATAAAGTATGTCGAATGAAAAAGGGATTATTAAAAAATATTATTTCTTATAAAAAAATAATGTTGATCCATACACTTTTAAATATGTCATAGCATTATAAAGTTAAAAATGTAAAAAATAAAATCGAAAATTTTCACACAAAAATAGCATTCGGTAGCCATTTTCAGCGTGAAGATAAAATAAAGTCCGAAATTTTTTTTTACCATAATAAAGTATATTACATTAACTTCAATTTAAGTTATACAGGGTGATTTTTTTATCATAACCCACTCAATTACTCGCAAAAAAAAAGTTATTTTGAAATTTTTTTTTTTTGGGTACTTTTAGTTACATGTTATTCTCTATTAATTCGTTATGAAGTATTTTTTAGGTTCATCCCTTATGTCTTTTAAGGGTCTCAACTTTGATTTTTCAAATTGGAACATGTATTTTGAATTTAATAAAATAATAGACATTTTTTTTTAATAATAAATGGCGTTGGAATTTTTAATATAACTTTATCCGTTACTAAGTTATTTCATTTTAAAGTTACGAATATTTGAGTTAAAATATATGTATAATATACATGGATTAAACTAAACGGTAGCTAATTGTTTTTTTACGACGTCGCTGTTCACAGTTACGCAGCGTTTATTGCCCATAAGACTTTATCAACAGAAAGGTTTATAATATCAAGGTAGCTAATAAAAATAATAAAAGGTTTCAATAAAACAACAAACATATACATTTTTTTTCCAAAAATATATTAAAATTTTATTATAAATAAGATTAATATACAAGTACAATTGTAAAAAAAAATACTAATACAAAATTTTTTTTATAAAATTAGTTAACAAAAAACTGCTATGCATCCAAAAACTCTAATGGAGTGGGTTTTGCAACAATCATAGGTCATGAAAATCATAAATTCTCACTTCCTCCTAGCACCAATATATACACAGCTGAAGCTTATGCCATCTTTGAAGCTCTGAAAATCGCCTCCTCCTTAAATTCAGATTCTTTCACCATCATAAGCGACTCTTTGAGTGCTTTAATATCTATCTCAAATCCATACCCCAAGAATGAACTAGTACAACACATCCAAAAACAGATATCTACCTCTAACAAAACTTTCTCTTTCATGTGGGTCCCCTCTCACGTCGAAATTTCTGGCAATGAAAGAGCAGATAAATCTGCAAATGAAGCCACACTTCCTCAAAATGCCTTAGAAATAAACCTAACTACATCCTCAGAATTGCTGGACATCATTAACACCAAAATCTCTGACACATGGCAAACTAAATGGAACAGAGTCCCGCTATCAAATAAACTGAGAAACATCAAGCCCTCCATAAAAAAATGGATTTTTCCCTGTAACCTCAAAAGAAGGGACGAGGTCATTATAACCCGGGCTAGAATAGGCCACACTCATCTCACCCACTCATTCCTCATCACCAAGGATCCTGCTCCACTATGTGACGCATGCAACGAGGACCTGTCGATCGACCACATTGTCACTAGATGTCCAAAATACGCTGCAGCTCGGAAAATATTCAAAGATTCGTCTTCTCTCCAACTTGCTCTCAGCGAAGAAAACACAGAAGCTATATACAAATTTTTTTATCTTATACATTTAAACAATAAGTTGTAAATATTCATAACTTTACATTGTAATAACTCTCTGCAGGCTAATAACCTAAGCTGTTGAAGCCTTATCATTAATAAAAAAAAAANAAAATACATTTTTCTACAATCAAACAAGTTTTGGTTCATTGATGTTTATAAAATATAAATTAACTATTTTTCATGACTTAAAATAAAAAAATTTTAGTTAAATCCTTTAAATGTTTTACAAAACGAAAACAAAACAAAAATATTTGTCAAAGATAAAAAATTTTCAAATAAAGATTTAAAAAAAAAAAAACAATTATGTAACTTTTAAAATATTGACATTTTAAGATTATTATTTACTTTTTAAAAATTTAATTGTACCCTACATGCATATCAGATTTAGTTAGATAATAGTTTTGTTGAAAATCAACAGAAATGACATATTGTCAACCAACAACTCTAATTTTAAATAAAATCTTCAGAATGCATAGACATAGTAAGTATATAAAAAAAATATATAAATTAAATTTATAAACAAATAATTATTGTTAATTGTATAAATTGCTGCATCCAAGTAATTATCATTCGAGACTTATTATTTCTACAATTTATTAAGTGTCATTATTTCCGGAACATTTTCAAAATTCAATTATTTGTAGAAAAGTTGCCATTTTGAATTCCCCTCTGTGAGCTGGTAAAGGATCAGATTTTTTAAAAAATATACATGTATACCATTAAGTTTATTAGGTATTTTACTAGGTATACATACTAGATGTATAATAGAATTTTGAACTGAATTATAAGAAAAAATTGAATAGTTAATAGAATAAATAAATAATTTTACCATCTACATTGTTTTCTTGGTTTCTCAATACATTAATAGTCTAGCCTTATTTTTCAACGTCTGGCTACACCGGGTAAAAGTGAATATCAAATTTAAAAAATTATCTGATGGTTTAAACACAATTAGGCGTCTCTTTATGTGTCACCTAATTAATTATTATTATTTAAATTTTTAGGTGATAGTGGTTGCTATCCCGGAGTTAATTAATAATCTAAATTAATGAACTGTTGCATTTATGTTATTAAATACTTTATTTTAATTATTTACAAATGTTGGAAATGTTGCCCATTAGTGTTAAAGCAGAGTTCTAATCTTCTTTTTACTTCATTATTTGTTGTTCTTTTAATAACATCTTGTGGAATATTTGAACATACTTCGGTTATTTTAAGTTTTAATTCTTCTTTAGAAGAAAACTGCTGCTGCTCTCTGAACACTTCATTTTTCAAATAACTCTACAAGTAAAAATCTAGTACAGTTAAATCTGGTGACCGTGGTGGCCATTTCACAACAGGGCTATTTGTTCCAATCCAATTACCATTGTAATAAATTGTATTCAAATATTGTTGAACAATTTTGGCATTATGAGCTGGTGCACCATCTTGTTGCCATATAATATGCTGCCTCATTTCCAATGGTAAGTCTTCCAGCAAAACTGGTAAATCATTTTTCAGAAAATTCAAATATCTAGTAGCATTTAAATTTTCTTCAAAAAAATAGGGTCCAATAAGCTTATTATCAATCACACCACACCAAACATTAATATTCCACCGAAACTGACTTTTACTCTCAATTGTTAAGTGAGGATTGGTGTCACTCCAATAATGGCTATTGTGATGATTGACAACACCATTATTACAAAATTTTGACTCATCAGTCCACAATATCCGTGATAAAAAATTTGGGTTATCCTCCAAATTTACCATAATATGAAAAACAAATTCTAATCGCCTTTCATAATCACTGGTTAGCAATTGTTGGACATTTGTCGATTTATATGGATGGTATTTGTCCTTTTACAAATACATTGAACGGTACTGTAAGATAATCCCAATATTTCTAAAATAAATAAATCAAATTTACATGTCTTAATTTCATGTTTTACTTTTTAGTTGAATACCTGCCACAGATCTTAATGAACTATTTGGATTAGTTTTAAGATAAGCTAAAACTAAGGTAGAATTTTGTACAGTTGAAAGTGTCCTAACCCTACATTTTGAGCGATTAAAGCTGCCAAACATCGACATGTTCTTATAAACTTGACAAAACGTGGACTCTGATGGGCATGTACGATTAGTGTACCGTAGTTTGTACAACCTTTAATTTTAAGTTTGTTAAATGGATATTTTAAAATTAAAAAATATTAAATATTAACCTTGCTGCTGCTCTTTTATTTTTCTTACATTCAATATAGCAAGACATTATATCAGCTTTATCACTAATGCTATACTTTGACATTNTTTTATCACTAATGCTATACTGTGACATTGTTATTAATAATGCACTTTTAATTTAAATAATTAAAATTTATTAAAAAAAAAAATTTTTTTTTTAAAAACCTCGATTTTATATACTTTAAAAATTTAACAAATTAAACCGTGATGAATACAAGTGTGTGTAACTTCCTATAGCAAAATCAGATTTGCTTTGAACTCTAAGAATCCCAGGTTATAATTAGTTATTTCCATTTCCAATGTTAAGATTTATAAATAAATTTTCAATAGTAGTTGAATTTTATTTGTTTGAAGCATCAAGTTTTTATATATGTATAAAGTTTATCATTAACTGTGATCATACATGTTAATTGGTTTGAAAATTTCATTATTATAAGTGATAGTGTATTGATGAAAACAATTTAATAATAATGAAAACTTCATTATAAAATTTTATATTTTCCTCTTTATAAAAAGCTTCAATTACTGTACATACTATGTGCCTTATATTATCAAATGTGTATCTCATATTAAATATCACACTTTGATTAAAAAAAAGGCAAGATTAACTAAAAAATTAACAATTTTTTTATTTAAAAACTAATAAAACATTTTTGTGAAAGTATATACAAATGAAAAATTATACGCTGAGGATTTAACAATTTGTTAATTATAAGAAAAATTATATTTACATAATAAATGTAAAAATTTAAATATTAAACTATTGTAAATGTTACATGTTAATGTTAATTTATTGTAATGTAAATTACTACTAAATTTTAATATGAATAATAATCTATTCAAACATTTATTTTAAATAACTTAAATAATTAAAACTTAAAACACAAGTAAGATTTTATTAAGATAATTTTTGTTTATTAATATGATTACAATATTAATCCTATGACATTGAGGTATCAAAGCATACTAATGCATGCATGAAAAAAAAATTGTAGCTGCTTTCTGAAATAAAATTTAGTTGTTTTCAACTCTAGTTTGCTCAGTAAAATATCAAAAATTGTCACGGACATCACATCAAAATACTTGTACTTATCTGCGGTGAAATAAAAATGTATTCATAGATATTGTTTTTTCTTATTAAGCGAGCATCAATATGTATTTACTAATATTACCTGTTATGGTGTTTATGAAATGAAATTATTCACGCAAGACTAATGACATTTATCTAACGCTATTTTTTTAGTCAATTTTAAACAAATCCATTTTGACAAAGAACAAAACTTAAGAAATTGTTTAACACTTCAATATTAAGACAACTGAACAAAAAGAAAAAAACTAGTGCAATTATTCTAGAAATATAACACACTCTAAGACAAAATTACAGAATTTTGTACGATATCACAGCATTGTGACATTAATATGGAGACAGATATGTCCAAGTAGAATGGTATTCGACTTGTTAGAAATCTTTAGATTATGGTATCTCTCGAAAATAATTTTAAATTTCAGGGAATATGTAATAAGTTAAATAAGTTTTGTTTAGATAACACATTGATAAGAAAAAATGCCTCAATATTTCCAATGAAACCGAATACCGGTTCATTCTGGTTTGTGTATTTATAAATGATTATTGACAACATAGTGCATTATAAACAATCATATTATAAGTATATCTGAAGATAAAGTCATAATTGGCAATAAACGCTGCGTAACTGTGAACAGCGACGTCGTAAAAAAACAATTAGCTACCGTTTAGTTTAATCCATGTATATTATACATATATTTTAACTCAAATATTCGTAACTTTAAAATGAAATAACTTAGTAACGGATAAAGTTATATTAAAAATTCCAACGCCATTTATTATTAAAAAAAAATGTCTATTATTTTATTAAATTCAAAATACATGTTCCAATTTGAAAAATCAAAGTTGAGACCCTTAAAAGACATAAGGGATGAACCTAAAAAATACTTCATAACGAATTAATAGAGAATAACATGTAACTAAAAGTACCCAAAAAAAAAAATTTCAAAATAACTTTTTTTTTGCGAGTAATTGAGTGGGTTATGATAAAAAAATCACCCTGTATATAAAAGTGTCAGACTTTTCGGAACAGTTTCAAAATTTAAGTTGAAAAAGTAAATTTTTTGTGAAAAAGTTGTCATTTTAAATCCCCTCCTGTGGGCAATTAAAGGGTCAGATATAAAAAAATATATACCAAATGATAGGTAAAGACATCATGCATCTATAAAAAAAAGTTATATTGATCCATACATCTTTCAAAAAGTTATAGCATTATAAAGTTAAAAATATAAAAAAGAATTTTTTTACAAAAATCGTATTTTTTTTATAAACTTTGATGTCTGTTTTCACCATGAAGATAAAATAAAGTCCGAAATTTTTTTTTTGCATAATAAAGTATATTACATTAGCTTTAATTTAAGATATATATAAAAGTGTCAGACCTTCCGGAACATTTTCAAAAGTTAAGTTGAAAAAGTTAATTTTTTGTGAAAAAGTTGTCATTTTAAATCCCCCCTTGTGGGCAGGTTAAGGGTTAAATTTATGAAAAAAATATACCAAATGAAAGGTAATGATATTATGCATCTATATAAAAAAGAATTATATTGATATGTTCATTTTTGAAAAAGTTATGGCACTTTTTAGTAAAAAAAATTGAAAAAATTTCGAAAATTAGCGATTTTTAAATTCATAATTTTTTTGGAGGTTTCCCCCATTTACGGTGAACGAGGGATTTTTTTTCAATTTTTGAGGGTAATGTCTTCGACTAGATACAATTTGTGATCTTTTGACGTATCATTGAAAGAAATCGGTTCGGTGAGAGCTGAGAAAAAGTGGTAACAGACACAAAAAAAAAAA